CTTGTTGAATTTCATACAGTTGACCTTGGGCCATCGATCCAACCTGTCCAGATTCCTCTGTAGAGCCTTCCTACTCTCAAGCAGATCAACACTTCTGCCCAACTTGGTGTCATCTGCAGTCTTACTGAAGGTGCCCTCGATCCCCTTGTCCAGATCATTGATAAAGATATTAAACAGAACTGGCTCTGGTACTGAGCCCTGGGGAACACCACTGGTGACCAACCACCAACTGGATTTAACCCTGTTCACCACATTCTTTGGGCTCAGCTATCCAGCCAGGTTTTTACCCAGTGAAGAGTGCATCTGTCCAAGCCATGAGCAGCCAGTATCTCCAAGAGAATGCTGTGGGAAATGGTATCAAAGGCTTTGCTGAAGTCCGGGTAGATGACATCCACAGCCTTTCCCTCATCCAGTAAACAGGTCATCTTGTCACAGGAGGAGATCGGGTTGGTCAAGCATGACCTGACTTTCATAAACCCATGCTGACTGGACCCAATCACTTGGTTGTCCTGTATATGCCATGTGATGGTAATCAAAATGATCTGCTCCATAACCTTCCCTGGCACCAAGGTCAGACTGACAGGCCTGTAGTTCTCCAGATCCTCCTTCCGGCCCTTCTTGTAGATGGGTGGCACATTTGCTAACTTCCAGTCAACTGGGACCTCCCTAGTTAGCCAGGACTGATGACAAATGATGGAAGGTGCCTTGGCAAGCACTTCTGCCAGCTCCCTCAGTACCCTTGGGCAGATCCCATCTGGCCCCATGTACCTGTGTGTGTCTAAGTGGCGTAGCAGGTCACTTAACCATTTCCCCCTGGGTTATGGGGGCTTCATTCTGCTCCCTGACTTGCAGCTCAGGGGGCTGAGTTCACAGAGAACTGGTCTTACTACTAAAGACTGAGGCAAAGAAGGCATTAAGTACCTCAGCCTTTTCCTCATCCTTTGTCACTGTGTTTCCCCCTGCATGCGATAAAGGATGGAGATTCTCCTTAGCCCTACTTTTTTTGCTAATGTATTTATAGAAGCATTTTTATTGTCTTTTATGGCAGTAGCCAGATAAGTTCTAGTTGGGCTTTGGCCCTTCTGATTTTCTCCTTGAATAGCCTCATGACATCCTTGTAGTCCTCCTGAAGTGCCTACCCCTTCATAATTGTAAACCTTTATTTCTTAAGAGATTCCCTACGAAATATTTTTTAATGTCACAATTGAAATACAGCAGAAAGGATAAAAGAAGCATACTAAATGTATTTATAATACAGTTTATTGTAAATGATAAGTTGCCACTGTGCTACAAGCAAATTTAATTGCAAGTTAAAAAATATTGTTCTTGTCCCCAGTTTGCTTTTTATTCAGTTCAAAGTGAAATTTAATTTCCAAAGCAATTGTTCTCACTTCTCAGCAGATAATGCTACCTGAGAAGAAAGTGTCAAGGCTGTTATTTACCATTAGGCAGAGTTCTTTCATTCTGGATAACAATTTTATGCAATAAATTGATATGTTTCAAGATTCATGTACCTAAATATCAGAAAGTATATACCCAATTTTAAGTGCTTTTTTGCTATTTGCCAAATTACAAATTTGAGCTGTACTTTGGAACAGTCTTTTTCTTGTATATGTTACCTTGATTTTGATTTAGGAAAGAGAAAAAAAAAAGCGTGACCTTAAACTTAAGCATGTTCTTCCTGATTATAGGACCTGAGGAATTAACTGTGATCAAATGGTTGAGTTCTTAGGCTATCATATCAATATTGTAATTATAATTTGAATCAGCGCTGGAGTTCATTCCAGAAGTGCTTGTATTTCTCTAGATTCCCCTCGCCCTGCCCCCCCCTCC